ATTAGAATTATTACTGGTTTGAAAAGAAGGGAGTCTTGCAGGAAAGCCTTCAAAGAACTTAGGATTTTAACATTACCAAGTCTGTATATTTATAATGTTGTTTGCTATGCTTTCCAAAACGTACAAGTTTTACAAGGTAGTAGAAACTCATACACCTATAATACTCGACACAAGGACCACTTGCTACCTAGACAACATAATACGACATATTTCCAGAAAGGTCTTCAATATAATTCTTGTAGAATGTTTAATAAATTACCGACTGATATAAAAGAGGTAAATAATATTTTAAAGTTTAAAGCTAAAGTTAAATCGTACCTGCTGGGATTAAATTGTTATTGTATAAGCGATTTTCTTGCTGCTTAGTAAAGCTTTCTTGTTCATTTGTGTTTGTTGTTACTATTTCTGTTTGATACAATAGTATTGCTACTGTTAATGTCTAAATTTCTTGTTTATTGACGTAACTGTAAGTCATTTACATAACAATGTACATGATTTATTAAGTTGTAAATAAATATTATTATTATTATTATTATTATAGCAAATAGTATAACAACAAATTTGGTACATGACTTACCTTGTAAGAAAATAAATGGTGGGTGGGCGGGGCTAATACTTGTTAAGATGGGATTCATTTGGAAAATGACATATCCTCTATGAAAATAAAAGAGTGGGTAGGGGGGGCTAAAACTTGCTAAGATAAGACTGAACAATATTATGAGTATTAATTGTAATGAAGACGGGGTGGGTGGGCGGGGTTGCTGCTTGTTCATAAAGCTAGAAAAAAGCTAAACTTAGCTCCGTCCACGTCCTTGCTCCATTTCATTGATTTATTTTATTCAGTGTAAAATGGGAAGTGAATTCTATTTTTAACATGTGAAGAATCTAAGATTTAAAACAAAATTGTTAATGAGTTGAAAAAAACAGCGTTACAGTCTTTAATAAAAAAGGTGGAATTAAATTCAGCCCAGCTGATGGGTGGGGCAAATACTTATTATGGCAAATGAGAAACCCTCATGAAAATAGAGGGTGGGTGGGTGGGGCTTATGTCCTTGAATTTAATCAGAATTTTTGGACGACTTTTTCAAAAATGAAATTTCCCATTATGTCTCCTTTATGCAAATTTCGACCCATTCTCGACGATTTTCGAAATTTAACTAAAAACTTTCACTTCTGGCTTCATTTCTTCATTAATTTAAATCGTTTTTTCCGTAATCGTCCATTGAAATATCGCAATTTTTAAAAATTTCATAAAACTTATAAATACACTCAGCTGACCAACATTGTTGAAACTCTTTTACAAGTCGACTTCTTTCATTGCTGACATAATTTGATTTAAAAGTATGCAAATTTTTATAATTTTATACATTCTACTAAAATATTTTCTTTGAAAAAATTATTCAAATATTTTTTATTAATCTGTCATTTTATATATTAATCAATACACAAAACTGACAAGATTTAGATTCTCATCACTTCACTAACCACTTATTTACCTGAACAATCATATTTATTTAAATTTAATTTTTTGATACTCTTTTCGGCACCACCTATGAGGTAGAGTATTATAGGCACGTTTTTTACGTAATATCTCCAGTAAACCTATTCCAATATTACTATTTATTCCTGTGTGTGTTTATACTAGAAGGACAAAAGATTTGTATGAACTACACATGACGCGAATGCAAATAAAAAATTTTAATTGTACAATTTTTTTTTACAATTTGTCTCATGGCTTGACTTGTTTAATAACGAGAATCTACTCTCTCCGGAAGTAAGGCATATAAATAAAATTTTTCTAGGGCTCTATCATATTATTTTCCCAAAATTTACCATCTCGTTGAATTAAACATTATTTAAATTGGACATTTTATATATTTCTACGATAGCGTTTTGGTTTATTAAGCCATCTGGCGATGCCGCTAAAAATGTACAAACCGCATTGTCTCATTGTCAGTTTGGTGTTACTGCAAAATGCTTCAGTTGCTCTTGCTTCATTTTCTATGCAAAGATTTTGCTGAACTAGATTTGCAGGGATGTAAAATGTTTTTCACAGTACAGTAGGATTAGCCGTGTTACTTGTTCTCTCATTTTGCAAATTTTACCAAAATAATGTTCGGTTAGTCTAAAGGATTTTTCTGCGCACCATTCTGCCAATTGTGTTTTGTTCGATTAAAACAACGTTGAAAGTTTTCTGAGAAATACTTTTTGCGCTGTGACATATCAGGTATTTCAACTGCCTCGTTAGATACATCGTCGCCCGAGAACTTGTATGATCCACAGACCGGAGCGCGCTCAAGCCAATGTCGACTCTATAAGCCTCCAGAAATTCTGCGGGAAATAGTTATTATTTAGATGCTTTTGTTTACACACATCTCACATGTTTCACTCGATTTTGATACTCAGCTATTTTTTTGTTTAACTAAGAATTAATACTTTCATTGCGTTTGATACTAACGTCCTAAATTAGCAATACTTGTGGAACAGTAATCATGCAATAATTTTTTTGGGAAAGTACAGTTATTTTTATGTTTTAGCAGCAATGTGGTCTACTTTCTATTAATTTTTACATATTTTTAGTCACAATTTTGGTAGTTATTTTTGCTTTTATTTTTAGCAATAATAAATAGTCCAAACATGAAAAAATAAAAAAATAATAAAATTGGAAAATCTAAAATTTAGAAATCGAGAAATTGAACAATCATATAACTGAAAAATCGAAACATCGAAAAACTGGAAAATCGAAAAATTAAAAAAAAAATGGAAAATCAGAAATTTAATGAATTCCGAAAATTGAAAAACTGAAATATGTATAGAAGAACTAAAAACTCGAGAAATCGAAAAATCTAGAATTTTAAAAATTGAAAAATTAAAATATCGAAAAGTTGAAAAATTGCGAAATCGTATCATTGAAACATCGGACAATTGAGAAATCGAAAGATAAAAATAATGGAGAAATCGAAAATTTGAAGAATGGAAACATTGAAAATGTCAAAAATTAAAATACTGAAAAATTGAAACATCAAAAGTTGAAAAATTGAAAAACTGAAAAGTCGAAAAATCTCAATAATGTATTTTTTATAATGTTCAGGATTATGCTACTAAAAATTGATAACGTCATCTCAAAATTTTACCGAATAAATTCTACTAAAAATGCGCAAAATATGATGAGTTTTTAGTTGTAATTTATCATTGCTTTCATATTTTTTAGATTTGCTTATATACCTAGGTGGCTCAAAAGAATTAATGAATGAGTCAATTTATTCTATTGATTAAATCAGTTTCGACTCACTCCACTTTCCCAGAAATTTTTGCAATACTGTTATTTTTAGTCTAATCCACATTGATTTACGTGTCCTTGCAAAATGTTGATAATTTCATCACAAAATTGTGTACTTAAAGTAAAAATTTAACTCGAAAATGCTGGATATGTTTCATTGTATTTTAGGTCCGAGGGAAGTTCTGTCGAAACAACTTTCCACCAATTTTTTTGCTGTTATATTTGAACATAAACAGTTTATTTTATATATTTTTAAAACATTATAAAGAAAATGAAAAGTTGTGTTAGACTGAACCTTGTGGGTTTCTCAATCTATTTTCCGCAGCATTTTAAACTTTCAACTCAATTTCTTTCGAAATATGTACATACAAATGGATTTCGATGGTTATTTCCCTGTACCCTTCATTTGAAAATAAATATCTGGTGTTGTTTACCGATTTGCATTTTATGACGGACTCCCCACAGTGACCATATTCTCTCCTCTCTTGGCTCGCTACCTGCCGTGGATCGGTACTTTGGGTTGCATAGTTACAAAAAATAATTCTTCTCACTGAAACCGATTTTGTGGGCGACGACTCGGGTTGCCCTAGTGGTTTATTAATGCCAAAAATCTTGTATCTTAGCAAATACTAGCCCCGCCCACCCACGCTCTATTTTCTTAGAGGGTATATTATTGCCAAAATCAGTTTTATCTTATCAAGTACTAGCCCCACCCACCCACCCTCTCTTTTTTTAGAAGGTATGTGATTTCCCAAAATCAGTTTTATCTTACTAAGGACTAGCCCCACCCACCCACCCTCTCTTTTCTTAAAAAGTATATCATCTGCCAAAACTGATTTTGGCAGATAACATACTTTCTAAGAAAAGAGCATTTTAACTCTTTCTGCTTTATTCTCATAGAAATGTAGAAAAAAGTATCTCAACAAAATCAGTCTTGTCTTCAAATACTAACCCCGCCCACCCGCCCTTTATTTTCTTAGAAGCTATATCATTTGCCAAAATCAGTTTTATCTTTACAAGTAGAAGGTCCACCCCCTAGAACTGATTTTGACAAATGACATATCCTCTAAGAAAAGAGAGGGTGGGTGGGTGGGGCTAGTACCTGCTAGGATAAAACTGATTTTGGCAAGTGACATACCCTCTAAGAAAAGCCGGTCTTTATTTTCTTAGAGGATATGTCATTTGCCAAAATCAGTTCTATCTTAGAAGATGGTACCCCCACCCACCCACCCTATCTCTTTTTAAAAGGTATGTCATCTGCCAAAATCAGTTTTATCTTAAAAAATACTAGCCCCACCCACCCACCCTCTCTTTTCTTAAAGAGTATATCATCTGCCAAAATCAGTCTTATCTTACATCCCAAAATCATATTCACTAAAAATATATTTTTTTAAATATCTCAAACTTGAATTTTACTCATTGAAATTTAGTTTATAATAAAAATTTAAAAAATACAATTCGAGAAACACCGCCCACCAACCACAATATATCACAATTTAACCAAAGAGGATAAATGGAGGGAATATTTCCTAACCGACCCATGCAAAAATTATTTATTAAACGTTTATTAAAAATTGTCGGCAAACAAAGATTCTTTCACATTCTAGCTACGAATTGATGAATTTAAGCAAACTAAAACATTGATTCTAAAATTCATTGATTCCAGTCTCGACTTTTTTGTTTATCAAGTTTGTTTTATAAAAAAAATATAGTCCCAATATTTCGTTTATTTATTTCTTTATTTTAACATAAAAATATAAAAACTATTTGGTAATCGCTTTGACTGCATGTCGTGCCTTAAAGTGCCTTTTCAAATGACAATTTTCCTTCGCCTTGTAGGAGCACTTTTTGCACTCATACCACTTAATATCCCGTTCATCTAGATGCAGAGCTATTACGTGTTTCTTCAACTGCGAGCTTCTTTTACCTTTATACGAACACTCTCCACATTCAAACCACTTAGCATCCTTTCCATCCAAATGCCTCGAATTTATGTGTCTTTTCAACGACGCTTTCTCTTTAGCTTTGTATGAACACTGTTCGCATTCGTGCCACTTAATTTCCCGTACATCCAAATGGTGCGTTTTTATGTGTCTTTTCAAATTGGAATGATCTTTACTTTTATACGGACACTTGTGACATTCATACCACTTAACGTCACGTTCGTCCAAATGCTGCGCATTCACGTGTATATTCAAAGACAACTTCTGTTTAGCTTTATATGGACATACTTCACATTTGTACCACTTCACGTCGTTTTTGTCCAAATGGTGCGCCCTCACGTGACGCTTCACATAATATTTTTGCTTAGCTTTGTACGGACACTTATCACAGTAGTGCCACAAAATTTCATCATCGTTCAAGTGTTTTGAAATTTTGTGGCAGTTTAATTTATGTTTATACCGGAACTTGCCGTCGCATTGGTCACATTTATACCACGTTAACACCGTATTGTTAGTGCGATTCCCTGACTTATTTTCATTTTTTTCTAAACACGCGACACTGTGTTGGAGACATTTCATCGAGAAGTGTGTTTCGAACTTGCACTTTTTGCAAATGTATTCCTGGATCGTGAAGGAATTTGTTTTTGAAAAATCTGCTTTGTTGGTTTTATGATGTTGTTCGATGTGTTTTTTCAGCAGAAGTGCCAGATCAGTTCGGAAATTGCAGTCCTCGCAGGAGTATAATTCGACGGTTTGGCCACACTTGAAATGAATTGAATAGGGGGCTATTATGGGGTTCGACGTGAAACACAGTGATGGTGTGAAGTTTGAGTGGGCCTGATGGTGGTGACCATTGATCGTGGGTGTTTTTGCTTGAGCGAACTCCTCAGGACAATCCATTTTGGGGTTTCTGGATTTGTAAATTCGTTGGTGTTTGACAATAATAACTGGTTATTTCTCACCTTTTACTGCGTTTGCAACTTTTTAGAATTATGTAACAGTCCAAAAACACATTTTCTTTGCAAAAATAAACTTCGTGTTTCCTAACCTCAAAAATGATTGGGAGTTATGCAACACAATATACATAATAAATTTTCCTCTTTTTTTGTTAGTGTCGTACATATGAGATGTACGAGGGAAATGTTTTTGACTTATATCTAGTAGGCCATAATGTTTGTCGTGTAGTTGGTATTGCTAATTAATTTTGCTAATTAATTTGAAACTTTTTGAAATAAAGAATTAGGAAAGGAGAGAACGGAGAGAAGTAGAGAAAAAGAAGGGAAGAGAGGGAAGAAGAGAGATATAGAAGACAGAGGGAGAGAGTAAAAAGGAAGAGAGATGGGAGGGGATAAGATGAGAGAGGAAAAACTAAAGAGAAAAAGAAATAAAGAATAAGGAAGGAGGAGAGATAGAGGAAAGTGAGTGTGAGAGAGAAACAAAAAGAGAGAAACAGAGAGAATGGGGGAGAGAGGGAAATTGTGGGAGAGGGTAAAGGAGCTAAAAATAGAGAACGAGAGAAAGAAGACGACAGAGAGAAAGTGAGGAGGGAGAATGAGAGAGACAGAGCAAGAATGACAGAAAGTGTTTCCTTGAAAATTTTGTTTTTCGATTTATCAATTATCCAGTCTTTCAATTACTGTTCATTCAGTTTTTATTTTAAAAATGTCGATTTTTTAATGTTTTGTTTTTTCAAGTTTGATTCTCCAGTTTGTGATTTTTCATTTTTTAATGTTTTAATATTACAATTTTTCGATATTCTGATTTTTCAATTATCCAATTTCTTAATTTCTTTAGTTTTTTCGATTTTTAATGTTTTTATTTAACAATGTTTCGATTTTTTAGTTTCTCGACTTTTATTTTTGGATTTTTCGACTTCTAAATTTTTCAATTTTATGATTTGTCCATTTTTCGATTTCTCGATTTTTAATTTTCCAATTTGCTCAAGATTCAATGTTATAATTTTTCTACTTTACAATTTGTCATATTTTCAATTCTTCGATTTTACAAATTCTGAATTTCTAGATATTTTTATTTTTAGATTTTTCAATTTTCCGATTCAGTTTCCCTATTCATTTAATTTTTCAACTTAAAATGTTTCAATTTTTCAGTATTTTGTTTTTTTTTTCAATGTTTCAATTTTTGTATTGTCACTTTTACAATTCTTCGAATTTTCAACGTAAAATTTTTTTTTCAATTTCCATTCTTCAATTTTTTGATGTTTTAGTGCTACACTGTTTTGATTTCCCGACTTTTCAATTAGTGTCCGATTTTTTAATTTCTCTAGTTTTTTTGATTTTTCAACTTTAAAATTTTTCGATTTTTAATGTTTCGATTTTTCAGTTCCTCCATTTTTATTTTTGGATTTTTCGACTTCTGGGTTTTCCGATTTTGCAGTTTCCGGTTTTCCAATTTTTTAGTTTTATGATTAGTCCATTTTTCGATTTCTATATATTTAATTTTCCGGTTTATTCCATAATTCAATTCGATTCTTCAAATTTTAAATTTCTAGATATTTGTATTTTTCGATTTTTCAATTTCTCGATCTTTACTTGTTCAACTTTCATTCTAATCTTTTGATGTTTCAATATTACACTTTTCCAATTTTCCGGCTTTTTAATTATCCGATCTTTTTCGCTTTTTTTATTTTTCAATTTTAAAATTTTTCAGTTTTTACTGTTTTAATTTTTCGATGTTTCGATTTTTCAGTTTCTCGTTTTTTATTTTGGATTTTTCAATTTTTCAATTTTATGATTTGTCAGTTTTTTCAATTTCTGGATTTTTAATTTTCCAATTTGTTTATTACTCAGTGTTACAATTTCTGGTTTTTCCAATTTTTTTAGAAAATTTTGTTTTTCGATTTTTCATATTTTCGAGTTTTTAGTTTCTCGATTTTTAATTTTTCAATTGTTAGATATTTCCATTTTAGTCTTCTCAGTTTTTCGATTTTTGTAATTTTTCATTTTTGCAACTTTTCAGTTTGTGGATGTTCAATTTTTTGATTTTTTAGTTCCAATTTTTCAGCTTTTCAATGTTTGGCTTCTTCAATTTTTCGATATTTCAGTTTCTCGAATTTAAATTTTTTGTTTTTTCAAATCTTGAATGTTCAAGTTTTTCGATTTTTTTTATTTTCTCAAATTTTTTAATTTCTCGAATTTTGGTTTTTTATTTTTTTTAGTTTTTTAATTTAACTTTTCATGTTTTCAGTTTTTGGATTTTTCATTTTATCTTAAATTATCTTAAATTTTTTAACTTTTAAATTTTTAAAGTTTCTCGAATTTTAGTTCCTTGGTTTTTTAAATTTTTACATTTTTAATTTTTCGTGTTTTCAGTTTTTGAATTTTTTTTGATGTTTCGATTTTTCAGTTCCTTGGTTTTCATTTTTGGACTTTCCCAATTCCGAATTTTCCGATTTTTTAGTTTTCGGTTTTCCAATTTTTCAATTCGTGATTTGTGAATTTATCCATTTCTATATTTTCAAATTTCCAGTTTATTAATGATTTAATGTTATAACTTTTCGATTTTACAATTTCTCGTATTTTCAGTTCTTCGATTTTTCAAATTTTGAATTTTTAGATATTTTAAATTTTCGATCTTCAATTTTTCGATTTTTCAGTTTCACTATTTAAGTATTTTACTTTTTCAATTTCCATTCTAATTTTTTTATGTCTCAATGTTACACCTTTTCCATTTTCCGACTTTTCAATTATCCGATTTTTCAATTTCCCTGGTTTTTTCGATTTTTCAAATTTAAAATTTTTAAGTTTTACTGTTTCAATTTTCGATGTTTCTATTTTCATTTTTGGATTTTTCGACTTCGGAATTTTCCGCTTTTTCAGTTTTCCGTTTTTCAATTTTTCAATTTTATGATTTGTCCATTTTTCGATTTCTATATTTTCAATTTTCCAGTTTATTCATGATTCGATGTTATAATTTTTCGATTTTACAATTTCTCGTATTTTCAATTCTTCGATTTTTCAAATTTTCAATTTCTAGATATTTTTATTTTCGATTTTTAAATTTTCCGATTTTTCAGTTTCACTATTTAAGTATTTTACTTTTTCAATTTCCGTTCTATTTTTTCATGTTTCAATGTTACACTTTTTCGATTTCCCAACTTTTCAATTATCCGATTTTACAATTTCTCTGTTTTTTTCGATTTTTCAACTTCAAAATTTTTAAGTTTTACTGTTTCAATTTTCGATGTTTCTATTTTCATTTTTAGATTTTTCGACTTCGGAATTTTCCGATTTTTCTGTTTTCGGTTTTTCAATTTTTCAATTTTATGATTTGTCCATTTTCCGATTTCTATATTTTCAATTTTCCAGTTTATTTATGATTTAATGTTATAATTTTTCGATTTTACAATTTCTCGTATTTTCAGTTCTTCGATTTTTCAAATTTTGAATTTCTAGATTTTTTTGTTTTTTGATTATCAATTTTCCAATTTTTCAGTTTCACTATTTAAGTATTTTACTTTTTCAATTTCCGTTCTATTTTTTTATGTTTCAATGTTACACCTTTTCGATTTCATAACTTTTCAGTTATCCAATTTTTCAACTTCAAAATTTTACAGTTTTACTGTTTCAATTTTGCGATGTTTCGATTTTCATTTTTGGATTTTTCGACTTCCGAATTTTCCGATTTTTCAGTTTTCGGTTTTTCAATTTTTCAGTTCTATGATCTGTCCATTTTTCAATTTCTATATTTTTAATTTTCTAATTTATTCATGATTCAATGTTATAATTTTTCTATTTTACAATTTCTCGTATTTTCAGTTCTTCGATTTTTCAAATTTTGAATTTCTAGATTTTTTTGTTTTTTGATTATCAATTTTCCAATTTTTCAGTTTCAATATTTAAGTATTTTAATTTTTCAATTTCCATTCTAATTTTTTTATGTTTCAATGTTACACCTTTTCGATTTCCCAACTTTTCAATTATCCGATTTTTCAATTTCTCTGGTTTTTTCGATTTTTCAACTATAAAATTTTTAAGTTTTAATTTTCGATGTTTCTATTTTCATTTTTGGATTTTTCGACTTCGGAATTTTCCGATTTTTCAGTTTTCAGTTTTTCAATTTTTCAATTTTATGATTTGTCTATTTTTCGATTTCTATATTTTCAATTTTCCAGTTTATTCATGATTCGATGTTATAATTTTACGATTTTACAATTTCTCGTATTTTCAATTCTTCGATTTTTCAAATTTTCAATTTCTAGATATTTTTATTTTTCGATTTTTCAATTTTCCAATTTTTCAGTTTCACTATTTAAGTATTTTACTTTTTCAATTTCCATTCTATTTTTTTTATGTTTCAATGTTACACCTTTTCGATTTTCCGACTTTTCAATTATCCAATTTTTCAATTTCTCTGGTTTTTTCGATTTTTCAACTTCAAAATTTTAAAGTTTTACTGTTTCAATTTTCGATGTTTCTATTTTCATTTTTGGATTTTTCGACTTCGGAATTTTCCGATTTTTCAGTTTTCGGTTTTTCAATTTTCCAGTTTATTCATGATTCGATGTTATAATTTTTCGATTTTACAATTTCTCGTATTTTCAGTTCTTCGATTTTTCAAATTTTCAATTTCTAGATATTTTTATTTTTCGATTTTTTAATTTTCCGATTTTTTAGTTTCACTATTTAAGTATTTTACTTTTTCAATTTCCGTTCTATTTTTTTATGTTTCAATGTTACACCTTTTCGATTTCCCAACTTTTCAATTATCCGATTTTTAAATTTTTCTAGTTTTTTCGATTTTTCAACTTCAAAATTTTTCAGTTTTACTGTTTCAATTTTTCGATGTTTCTATTTTCATTTTTGGATTTTTCGATTTCAGAATTTTCCGATTTTTCAGTTTTCAGTTTTTCAATTTTTCAATTTTATGATTTGTCTATTTTTCGATTTCCATATTTTCAATTTTCCAGTTTATTCATGACTCGATGTTATAATTTTTCGATTTTACAGTTTCTCGTATTTTCAATTCTTCGATTTTTCAAATTTTCAATTTGTAGGTATTTTTATTTTTCGTTTTTTCAATTTTCCGATTT